AAAAAAAAACAACAAACCCTTAAACCTAAAGAGCCACTTCAAATGACCAGCGTATTGGGATTTTGCAGACTTAGGAAGTGATTAGGAGTGATGCAGCTTCTTAGGCAAGGTGGATATAATTACAGGTGTTGTATCTGTAATGCATCTGGTGATCTGGGACAAATCACTGTTCATCTGACTTAGCCCTATGACTCAGGACAGTTTTCAAGTCGATCTTACAAGCTTCATCTTGCTGCCTCTATCAACTCATCACAATGTGTAGGTACAAATTATGACAAAAGCCTTGCATTTGGTTGCTTAACTTGCCTTTATTTGCTTGAACTGCTTGTTGTGGCATTTGTGTGTGAATATGTGCTTTTGTCTGTTCCAGAGCAGACTCAGGAGAGCATCCAGCGCTTTGAGCAGCAGGCAGGGCTGAGGGATGCTGGCTACACCCCCCACAAAGGCCTCACTACCGAGGAGACCAAGTATCACCGAGTGGCTGAGGCAGTCCATGTAAGGCTTGTTTTGCATTGGATTTCTCTGTGTGGGTTGTGTGCTACCTTAACACATCTCGTAGTGGAACTGTTGGAGTATGTTGCTCTCCTTAAACTGCTTCCTCTAAAGGCTTTTAGCTGATTGTGTAGAAAAGGTTATCCACTTACATTTTAGTTAGCATTAGCCTTTATACCTTTGAAACAAACTTTTTTGGATAGTCATATTCCACAGTCATGTCAGACTATCACAGGCATCTTTCAAGTGGGGACATCCTTCCACAGATCCTTGCACAGTATCTAGCTTCTTGCTGTGCCTTTAGTGCCCTGCAGTTGACTGTTGAACTGTTTGTCCCGAGAGAACTTGTAAACCCTCTGTTTGAGGTGGAAGTTAGCAAATGAAATTGGGCTTGCTTCTGACTTCAAATAAAGACAAAGGTCTTGAATTGACATGTTTCTGATGAGCTCAGTTATTCACAATCTTGCAGTTGGAGTTTAATAGTGAACTCTCCAAGTGTACTCCCACAAGGTCAAAGTTTCAGTAACAGTGTTGAACTGCATTAGTGTGGCTTGGATAGGCACAGGAAACATCCTGAGACGCTGCCCAGGATGTGGTTGGTGAACTATAACTGCCCTTCAAGTGACTTCTTCAAAGTTCAGTATGTACTATTGGACTTGCAGTTACCTGGTTTGCGTACACCCAGTTCCTGTTTAGTTTGACTGAGCTCTCCAAATGCAGTTAATTGCAGTGTTCTAGAGCAGTGTTTCTATCCTGTTGTATGGGGTTTACTTCTCAGGGTCTAGTGCTTAGACACCTCCTACCTTCTGTACAAGGTCTGGTCTCACCTTCATTAGAGATCTTGTGGGACTGAAAGCTTTATTGCTCTGAAAAATCCAGGAGACAGATGATTGCTGTGGTATTTTGACTTGCTACCAGGGGCTGAACTGATGTGATGAAGCCAGCTCTGCTACATCTGCAGCTTCCCTGTTAGTGTTGGTGTTGAAGCAGCGCATTACTGTTGTTGCTGCTGAATTGGAGTGAGCTGTAGGTGGTGTTTTACTACTTCTAGCCTGGAGGATGTGTTTTGAGCATAGTGGACTTCCAGAATGCTTAGATCTCGTGGAAAGAGGCTTAAGTATTTTGCAAGTTTGCAAGTACTTTAATGCTGGGTGTGGCTTTGGGTGAAGTGACAAATCCTTAATCACCTGTTATATAAACAACTGCTCAGTATGACAATAAAATTGGCTGTTCCTGATGTATTGTATTTAAGCACTGTTGCTTGTGCATTTCTCTTGCCTCTGAACAGAAGCTAAAAATGCAGAATGGAGAGATGATGAAAGATGACAGACAGACTTCTTCTGCTCAGTCCACTCCAAGCAGCACTCCCCACTCCTCTCCCAGGCATAAAACCAGGTACTCTCTTTCTGACAGACCACTGCCTCCTTTGGTTTCCTGCAGGCTGTTGAGGTGGGAGCTGCTACAAATAACCTTCTTATCCAGTGAGGGACTGAGGGGTGAAATTCAGAGCCTGCTGTGGATTTGTGTTGCTGAACTTGCACATATCTTCATCCTGGGGTGTAACAAACCTATTAAGGTTGTTTAAATTGCAACTGATAACTGCCTGTGAAGTTCCTGGAACAGTGGGGCCACTTAAAGTATTTATTCTCATGTTTTACACACCTCAATGATTTTTCCCTAGGATTTGGTTTAGTCAGGGATCCTCTACTTCTCTAACTGGTCCAGACTTTACTGTGGAAACTGGTGGGGACAAACTGCCATCTGAAAGATGGAGCTTTTTTGGACCCAAAACCATCCAGAAATCCACCAATGATCCAGGTATGTCCTCTAAATTCTCCTGTGCTGCAAGAGCTAGGGGAGAACTGTCACACAACAAACTTGCTGGCTGTTTCTGGAGCCTAATTCTGCTTGCCTTGTTACTTTCTAGGACCACTCTGTGAATGTGCTATTCGTATCATTTCTGTGCTAAGGCAGTGTAGTAAAACCTATACCAAGGATGTGAAAGCAGAAATAACTTGCACTGAGCTGTAGTGGAAGGGCAGGGTGTGAAGGTGGCAGCTTCTCTGCTATCTGGTGGAACCAGAATTGGAAGTGTCAGCCACTGATGTGGGATAAGCTTTAGATGACCTGAAGCTGCTGGGTCTTGCACAGGCTTTCTGCAGTGCTGAGCATCAGTCACACTGTTCATTCCTGGCAGCAGTGGAAAAAGGACTTGGCTCGTTTTCCCAGCTCTTATTTGCTGTGGTTTATTTTCTTTATCAGGAGGATTTACCATCCAGTCCTATAAGGGTGCCCAGAAGCCATCCCCAATGGAGCTGATGCGTGCTCAGGCTACTAGGATGCCAGAGGATCCAGTTACCTTCAAGCCACCCAAAATGGACACTTCAGTCACAGAAGGGAGGAAACAATCTCCACGGTCCCATAATCTCAAACCTCGGGATCTGAACGTGCTGGCTCCCACTGGGTTCTAGGAAGAATGCTTCTGGTGTCTTTAGCATCCTACAGGGTGTCTTTAGGCTCTGCTTCCCTGTCTCATTGTGCTGCAGTAAAATAGGGAAGTCTCCCTTCCAGCTCTTCATTTCATAAAAGGGAACAGTTGTGAATGTCCTCCTAAAGCCAGTCTTGGAAAAACCCCTGCACTAGTACAAAAACAATGTAAACCATCCTGTCTGCTGTGCTGCACCAGTTTGGTCTGCTAGACTGCACTAGCTGTGCTTCCTGGTACACTGCACTGCATTAGAACCTGGAATCCTGTGTTGTGAGACAGTGCTGCATGTGGTGTGCAAGCAGGCTGGCTTGGCTACATGTAGTATGATTGTCTTGTCCTGCTCAGTGCTGAAGTACCCTTGGGAGGACTGTGGTTCTGTGTAGCATGTGCAGAACACCAGCAGAAAACAATGAAAACAATCAAAGCCTAAAAACTGGACCATTAACTGCCAGAAGGAAGTTGCTCTGAGAATGTGGAATGTCAGTTTTAGATGTGGTGCTCCCTTTATCCAGTGTGACCTTACAGTTCAACACCTCATAATTCCTTGTCCTTGGATTTTATTTTTGTAAGGAAGAGTGATCTTTCTAAGATGCAATTACTGGAAAGACAGGGAGTAGAATCTAGTGGGGCTTGGCAATAATGAGGAAGAATTGCTTCTCTTCCAACTCTTCATGTTCTTCCAAAAGGGTGGAAATGACCAGAGCTGGTTTGGCTTGAACTGAGTAATCTTCCTCTCTTCTTTCTGTGAAACACCACTGACCTGCAGATGTTCTGGCAATCTGGCTGCTGCTTGATTTGTTTGCTGTGTTTCCCCCCCCCCCCCCAGCATCTTTTATCTGAATTGTGTAGATTTGAGACGCTTCTCAATTAGGTTTTTTGCTTCATCAGCATTAAATGCATTTTGCAGGGCTGGGGGAGCACTGAGGGCAGATCAAGGCTAAACATTCCTCCCTGCTGTGGTACAGCTGTATGTAAATTCTGGTCTAGTTAGCACCAGCTACTGGGAACAGCCAGTGCTTGCTTTCCTGAGAAGTGGAAGGAACTCCTGGCTACCATCTAATCCCTTAAGCATTAGGGGTAGTGCTGGTCTAATCTTCACCTGTCCTGTAGCAAATGGGTCTCCTCTTGATCTCATGATTGTGTTGCAGAGCTGCCTTAGCCAGCAGCTGGCTTTCCACAGTGGTGAGGTGGCAGCAGCAGCCTTGCATCTGGTACTGGTATGATACCAGGGCATCATACAGAGGTTACTTAACAGTTGGCAACTGTTGAGCTCTGGGGTTTCTTCCTCCTTAAACATTTCCCCTGGAGGGTGAGGCAAGGATGGCTCGCTTGGCTGCTGTCTGCTCTGAAGAAGCATGTTTTGTGGCTCTGGTTCCTCTCAAGCTTCAGCAGCACTACTGATGATGTGTTGTGTTGAAAGTCTCTCACCCAACCAAGCAGTTCTTACTGTCACCAGTCATTTGCACCTTGGCAATCAGTCTCATTTGACATTAATTTATTTGTTGTCTGTATTCATGTCTCTAATGTGTATGATTTTTGTTACAAGAAAAATAAAAATCCTTGTGAATGGAGGCCCAGAAGCTCTACCAGAGTACCACTCCCAAGCTCCATTGCCTCTGAATGGCCTCTGACTGCCTATAGAAGTGCCTAATTGCTCTCCGACTTCAGCTCTGATTTGAGCTGATGGCAATGGATTTGAATTCTGTATTCATCTTCATAACATGCATGTTTGCCTGCACTGCAGACACTTTGGTGTTCTGGAAGAGTCCAAGTCTTTTTCAGTTGATGCTGCTGTCCAGTCCTCCCTGTTGACATGCTGATCCCCTTGGGCAAAGTCATGTAGATTGATTTGGAGCAGAAATGTTCCTCTCCTAATGCCTGACCAGTGTGGCTTGGGGATCCCTGCACTGGAAGTGCCCTCACTGCACCCATGCTTGGTAATTTTTTTTAATACCATATTTTCCTGAATATTGAATGGTATTTTGGCATTTTGCTTGCTGTGCAAACTATTGTCAAAGTTACACCTGCATTAGTCTAATGCTGTCCCAAAGTACAGCTGACAGAGCTCTGCACTTCCTTTGGGAGGGCTGGCACCAAGATAACAGTCTCAGCACATAGAAAAATAATTTATTTTTTAAAGTGTACAGAGTGCTTGGTAAAACTGCAGAATGAGGAAAATTTGAAAGGAAACTGAGACCATGTAAACCAGACACTTTTTTTCCCACCCCCCCCAAGAAATGTATAACCAAATTCATGATGTACAACACCTGAGACTGCAGCAAGAGATGGGGTTTTATAGAGGAAGCATGAAGTTCTTTGTGCCCACCTGCTGCAGTGGATGTCTCCATCAGGTAGCGGTGATAATGAGGAGTAGCTCCTGAAGCATGCCCAGTTTCTCCATGATCTGCAGAGGAAAAGGCTCCCCCAGAACCTGCTGCATTCGGCTGATGAAGTCCTCTATCTTCAGGCGGATGTCCAGGTGGCCAATGTCGTCGCTGTCCTGGAGCTTGGGCTTGGCTTTCTGAATGATCAAATCCACCCGGTCAGTGAGTGAGCTCCGCAAGTGCTCTGCAAGAAGAAATGCTGGTGGGGAGAGGTAACACAATGGGTTGCCTGACCCATTTAGGGTCCTGGGGAATGGAAGCATGTTATCTTTCTAAGACTCAGTAGCCATGAATTCAAGAATGATGAGAAATGAAGAGAAGGGTACTTTGGCTGTTCTGCTGTAGCCTCTTGATGAGATCACTTATTAATGCCAAAACAGGTTGCTTACCCAGTATTACGTTTTGGTAACTCAGCAGCAGCAAACTCAAGTACTCCAGCATCTCATCCCATTTTTGCCATGTTGCTGTTTCATCCTATGACAGAAGACAGTATTTGATTATTAGAAGAGGTTTCCTTAGGACAAAAGACAAAGTAGAGGTTGGACTAAATACCTGGTACTGCAGCAGCACAGAGGAGTGGCTCAGGAAATAAAGGATCTTGGCCAGAGACAAAGGCAAGGTTGTAGGCACATGACAGCTATGCTGGAACAACAGCTCTAGCAGTTTGCAGCGCAGGAGCTGGCTCCCCATGGTATTTAGGAAAGCTTCCCTGGAAGACAAAAGGGATTTGCTTCAGGAGAGAAGCCTGACCAGGGACAACTGCTTCAGCATGGTGTCATGCTGGTGCTGATCCAGTGCAGGTGTGGGATGACTGCAGGGGCTGCCCAGCAGTGCAGTGGAAGGAAAACTACCAGATGTGATAGAGAACTTCATTATGCCTTATGTTTATGTCCTTAGGTCTGACCTGTGGCCATTCAAGGTTGCTATGGTCTGTCAAGCAGCTTAGCTGCTTCACTTCACCCTGCCCAGCAGCCCATGCAGTAGTTGACTTGCAGGGAGCACAGCCAAGCGAGTGAGATATGGCCAGCCAGATCTAGGATGTATGACCTGGGTGGAATGATAGCTTGGTTAGTCCGTTTGGCTTGACTGTGCACTCAGAGTTCTGTTTGCTGGGGGTTGCAGACATGGGTTTGAAATGTCTGTGGGTCTCGTGTCTACACAGAGGCTGTCAGGGCCCTGTGCTTTGGCTTCAGATACTGCACTTCTTAGAGAAGCAACCAAAAGGATGCCAAGGCAAAGCTGTAGGAACTCATATTTCTGATGAGCTACCCAGTTGCCCCTGGGAATCAGTGATGTGCATGCCAGTACTTGGCTGTACTGATGCAAAGTGCTGCTTTTCAGACCCTCTTTACAGTTTAAGATCCTGCAACTTCAGCAAGTGGGAGAATCAACTGTTCTCAGCAACACACCAGCTGGGTAGGTGTGTACAGCTGGTGGTGGTATATCTCCATGGGAGATACAAGCTTTATCTGGCTGGGTCATAAAGAAGCCTGTCTTTCTATACCCTGTGGTACTTCGTGCATCCAGACTTGGATGTAAATTAGGAATAAGCCTATTGTTCACACAGGCAGATGCTGCCTTGCACCTTTGCCTCACCTTTGGCTCCTCAAGGGAATATTCAGTATAAATGGGAATATCACATCTGCGATCTTACAGGAGCTGCAGTTGGGAGATTTGTCCACTTCCACTGCAATGGACAACATCCGCTGGAGCAGGAGCATCACCCTGGGTTAGAGAAACAGTCAACACTAGAGATGCTTGGCTTGCAAAGTAAAGCAGTGGGGATTGCACCTACTCAGCCTCATGCATTGCAGTGAGAGATGCAGGGGAATGTCCAGGCTAGATTTGATGTCTCGTGGTGGCTTTTGGATCCGATGCTCCTAGAATTGGAGCTAATCCCCACATGGGCCCTTGGGAGGTCTCAGTGGCTGTACTTGAGTGTGGAGGAGCAGCCTGAGCTGTGGGCCAAGAGCTCCAGCCTTATGCTACGTGCAAGAGGAACATGCTTACTGAGCCAGTTATTGACTACATGAGAAAGTCTGTTGCTTGCCTAGTCTATGTCTGCCTAAGAAAGAACCAGCAAAACTGGTCACAGGTACAGCCTGGCTTGCCTGGTCTGACAGGGAGAGATCTGGCTTCTCCCTGGCTTTGGCCCCATGATAATGCCAGCAGGGAGTCAGGACTTTGGGGCTTACTTCTGGGTGAAGAAAGCTGGTGGAGCCACCTCTGTCTGGTCAGTGCTGGCCAACCATGGTGTAGATGAGCTGTGTTTGCCCCTTGCTTCTGCTGAAGATGATGTAGTTTCTTGTGGCTGCTCCTGGGGCTGCGGCAAACCGACTCCTGTAACTGTTTTGACCAACCATTCAACCACCTCCCTGGAACAGAAACAGGAACTTCAGTGGGGATGGGCCCAGTTCTGTTGTGTTCTGACCTCCAGATCCACTTGGAGTTTGAGGAAAGACCCCCAAGGATGAAGAATATGCTTGGACAGGCTAGGGAGTAGCTCTGCTGAGCAGTGGATTTATGCGCTTGTTAATAGGACTGCCTACATCTCAGTTCTGTCCTGAGCAGTGCGAATCTGACACCATTCCCAGGAAAAGCCTGCTAGATTGCAGCTGGAAATGCCTCGCAGCATCTCTGGTGGCTTGCTTTTATAAACCTGCTCCTATTCTTTATGCTTGGGCTCTACACTTCCCTTTGTCTCCCTCTCCTGGAAGGTCTGAAAGTCTGACCTGGAGTCTCAACAAGTTTTCCCTGAGCCCTGCCTCTCAGCATCTGGTTAGAAAACAGGGGAGGAGGAGGTGTCCCTTACTTGACGTTGTTGAAGCACATGTCACACGAAAGCACTTTCTTGGCAATTGACTTCTGCAGCAGGCGCAACCTCAGGTTCTGCTGGAAGTCGTCCTCCAGGGTCTGCACCACGTACTGCAGGAAGAGGAGCTGGCCAGGGGGCTTCTCCTGAGGGTAGATGGAGACAGTATGAGCCTGGTGGAGCCACAGGGTGAGAAGCACCAGGGAATTTGGCTGTTTTGGTAATGGGCACATGAATGAGGAGTCGCTTCAGGAGGGGCTGTCTTCCTCAGGCAATGCCCTAGGGGCCTTGCTGGATCTATTCTACAGTTGCACTAGGGCTGTGACCCAGAGGCTTTACCTGTTGCTCTGCCTTCTGCAGATGAGAGCTGTGCAGCAGGTTAGGGAGCACTAAATGAGATAAATGTGGGATACCCAACTGGCAGTTGCTGCCCTCAGCAGCTGCAAATCATTCTGGAGCAGAGCATGGCCATGTGAAGCCCTGGGGAAATATTTACCCTCAGGCACTGTATACTGGATGATCCCTGCTCAATGTGACGCATGTGGTGCCAAGTACCTTGTCCTCCATGATGCATTTCAGCAGCGTCCAGTCCCATCCTACTGTGGCGGCATTGGCTGGATGGAGCCTGCAAGGACAGCACTGTCCATTTGAGCTGAACTGCCCATCTGAACCTCCTGCCAGGAGGCACAGCAGCCCCTGGCCCTTCCCAGCCCTGCTTCCTTAGGGGCCTGCCCTGCTTACTCCTCTCCAGCTTTACCTTGTCCCTTCCTCCTCCCCTGACCACATTAATTTTCTGGAAGCACCTGACTGGAGGTGTACTCCATGGGGAGTCCCATGGCCCTGTGGCTTCACAAAACATTGTGCTTCTCTGTGGGATCCCTGAGTGCAGCGGAGGGAACCGCTCCAGCCATGGCCCCTGCTGCAGCCCAGGGAAGGTGTTTCTGCCATGTCACAGCAGTGAAGAATGAGATCTGCACTTCAGGAACAAGGCAAACACACTCCTCTGCTGTCTGGTGCCACAGGCTGTCCCTGACCCACCTTTCAGACAGCTTGGGATGTGCCTGTGCTTATAACAGGAGGATCATCTTGGGTTATAGAGAAATTGCTCCCTCTTCCGTGGGTGAGGACCACAGAGAATAACCTAGCCAGCCCCAGGGCACCGTGGCAAAGGGAACACGTACATTTGGATCTTCATCAGCAGCATGTAGGTGTCCTTCAGGATCTCTCCTCTGTGGGGGTTCAACAGGATCTGTCTGATCAAGTAGGAGATGATTTCTTTTGGGGGACAGTGCTCGTAGGAGATGAACTCATTCAGGAAATGCAAGGTGGCCTCCACGAAGTTCTCCTCCATGGTGTTGTGCACCATGCTCAGCTTCCCGCTGGGCATGAGCTCAGGTTTCTGCTGTGTACAAGGCAAGGCAATGGGTGAAAGCCAGCTCCCCCTGACACAGGGGAACCCAGCTGTAACCTGGGGCCCACTGTGAAGGGAACTGCAACAACCAGAGATCCCAGGTGCCTGGCAAAGCTTCTACCGAAAGGAGAAGCAGAGCAGGGGCTGCCCCTGCTCCATCCTCCATCACCTCCATTACCTGCTGTGTTTCCCTTTTGGGTGTTACGCCTTGGAGGAAGAGGTGCTGGACTCCACTCCTCCTGAAATAATGCAGTTTGTTCAGCCAGGCCTTGTTTTCAGCCTTGGTCCTGGCTGGAGTCACTTGTGGGATTGCTTTGTGTGGCCGTAAGTCACTTGCTTCCAGCAAAGGCCCTTGGGCCTTCCCTGGGGTTGTGGGGAGGGGTGGGACAGGGCTCAGCCTCGGGGGAAGCTCCCTTTGTTGGCAGATAGGGGGAGCCTCTTCCTCAGGGCCACTGGCTTTCCAGCTATTGCTGCTGTCCAGGCTGGAGGGGGACAGGGACAGCAGGTCTGAGTCCAGCTGCATGCTGGCCAGGGAGCCCAAGTCACTGTTAAAAGTTGTAGTGCTGCAGTTCTGCTCTGGGCTGCTGGAGGAGCTGCTGGGGGTGGGAGAGAAGCAGCTACAGTTCTTTGTGCTTTCCGCTGTGTCCATGGTGGCACTGTGCTCCATGGGTGTGCTGTGACAGAGCGCTGCAGGGCTCGGCTCTGCCCTTGCCTCTGTTTCTTGCTTCAGGGTGGAGTAGAGCCACGGGTAGAACACGTGCACTGCTGGGGAAACAGGCACCTGCCTGGGGTCCTGGTCAGCCTGGCCGCTGCTATGGGGAGGGCTGCGTGTGTCCTCTGTCAGGTCGATGATGGTGAGGCTCCTCCATGGCGATGCGTCTGTGCTCATGTCCTCGCAGGTCAGATCGATGATCTCCTGTGGGGATAGAGGAGACAGCACTGTCAGTGTGCCTTGGTTCTCCCCTGCCAGGGAGCGCTGTCACCCCAGCCCAAGGAGGAAAAGGGGCACACCAGCAGATAAACCAGAGGCAAAGACCCCACTGCCTGGCTGAGGGGAGGGGGCAGTGTGTGGGGTGGATGCCTCAGGTGAGGGGGGCGATGGCCGTTACAGCCAGGGGCTGGACCCCTCCCTGGGGCGCAGGTGAGGGGACCAAGGCTGGGGACCAGGGTCCTCCTGGGGAGACATGGCCAAGGGGGCTGGGACCCCGCAGGGACACACTTGGAGACCAGGGC